GGTAGGAGGCTGGGGGAGATGCTGGGACCCTTTTAGAGAGGGAGGGAAGCAGGGGTTTGACCCAGCATGTGTGAGTCTTTTCAGCTGATTTTGAAATCAGGGGTGTGTCCAAGGCCTGGAAGGGCCACGGCTCTGTTTTCCCCGCACACCAGGTGGTGTTTGAGCTCATTCTTGAGCCCCTCAGGGTGGACAGGAGCCCCGTGCCCCTTAGGCCCCTGCTTCCCATTGTCAATGGCAGCAGGGAGTCCCAGAAGCCCCTCCTTACCCGGCTGCGCCAGGGGCCGATCCACACAGTCCCTGATCCACACAGTCCCTGTTACGCGGGCTGCCCTTCTTTGTCTCTGAAGCGGGTCAAAGTACCAGTCTCTTGTAATCTGCCCGGCAAGGGGTCTTCGCGAGCCGTCTGCAGGGGCCCCTCGGCAGTGCGCATGGACGGTCGACCCTGGTTCACAGGGGGCAGGGGCTGCCTGAGCCTGAGTCTTGCCTGGAAGCTCCTGTGACTCCTGGGCCTCGCCCTCTTCTTACCACCAGCCTGCTTAGGGGGAATCTGGCCTCTGGCTTCTCAGGGGGCTGTGTGGGTGCCGTGGCAACGCCAAGGAAGGTTCTGGGCACTTCCTGTTCCGGGGCAGGCTCCCAGGGGAAGACTGTGCGTGTGCGTGTGAGTGCGCGTGCATGGGAGTGAGTGAAATCTCCCTGAGAAGTAAGGCTCTCACAGGCATGGGTTCTAAGGAGAAGGGGTGTTATATCTGTGTTCTTTCTAGAGGGTCCATCTCTCCTCTTCCCCCCCTCCCCCTATCTTCCTCCTTTCTCCCCTCCCTCCCTCATTTTCCTGAGAGCCAAGCCCTGGGAGGGTCAGTCAACCCTTCCCCAGCCTTCTCCTCAGGCCAGTGGAGTCAGACTGTCCCTGCAGGGCCAAGCTTCCTTCTGCACCTGGGCCAGCAGGTGAGTCTCTGAACGAGGCTCGGGAAGAGGTCCTTAGGCGTCCATCTGGCATGAGGAGACTGGACTAGAAGATTCTCAGGCCTCAGTTCTCTGTCGCCATCCACGTTTTGACAAAATGTTAGAATAAGGAGCGTGGTGCTCTGCACGATCCCAGGCTGTGTTCAGTCATTTGATTTGCTGATGATTCTCCGTCTGCCTTGTCTGGGAGCTAAAGGCAGCCTGAAGGACGGACATGAGACCAAGAGCCTTCCTTCTGGCTCCGGCAACTTTGTCTAAAATCTCATGCCGCCAACGAGGAGGTAAAGACATGGGGCTGCATCAGAATTGTCTGCCGGGGACCTTGGTCCATGGAAGCCTGGCCCAGGGTCCACAGAAATCCGGAGATGGCAGCTGGACCCTGGGTCCAATGTGGCACGGCCTCTGTGGCCTCCGGAGAAAAGAGCCTTAAGACCCAAAGCAGAAACTATACCGACCTTCAGGGCAGGCCCTTCCTCAGTCTGTCTCCCCAGTGTGGACCTTGTCTCGTGAACCAGGAAGGGCCCTGCCCGCCCTACCTGTACCTGTGTTGTAGACAGGGCGTACCTCCTGGAATCGGTGCCCTTGCCCAAACAGCTGACCGCCATCTCCCACCTCAGCCCTGAGGCCCTGTGGCACTCTCTCTTCCGAAGCTGGGGATGGCAGAGTGGCCCACAAGCATGCCTTTCTGTCTGACCACACGTGCTCAGCAAGTGCCTCTGGAGTTGGAAGTCCCCGTGCCCGACCACCCCGCTACTGCAGGTGGTGCACACGCCACGTCTGGGAATGGACAGGTCCACGCGCGAAGACCTGCGCCAGTCTGCCTCCGGGGGTCTCGGCGCTGGGGTTTGCACCCAACTGCCTTCTTCCTTTGCAACTGCGCCCGGGTGTCCTTCGCAGCGAGCCGGGGCTGGTGGAGCTCCGCAGGAAGTGAACCTCTGTAGGGTGATTTCGCATTTCTTCCCCGTGGTCTTAGGGAATGGAGAGGGTGCAAACCCTATCCTAACCGGCCTAACGGGTATGAAGAGTGGGACTTCACCCTTAGTTAAACGTTCTCATGGAGCTGTATGAACTATAAATGAACTTTGGTATTTAGCAAAATAACTTGGCTTCTTGGATCTGCTAAGATATGTTAGAACAAACTATTTTGCTTAACCTTGACTTGCAAGGACGTGGCTGCAAAGTCCAGGTGTCTTTGTTGATGGACTTGGCTGTTATCCCAGAAGGATATTTGAAGCCAAGAAATGGGGTATAAAAGAAAACACAGC